TCTGTTTGGGAAGTTTTCTGTCATTAATTCTGCAAACAGCTTTTTTAAGTCATTTGTATTTTCTCCTACTTCATGGATTCCTATCAGTCTTATGTTATTCTTCTTTGCATCATCTAGGAGTTGTTGGATCGATTTCTCATGATCCCTTACTGTTTTTAAGAGACCTCTCTTTTCATGGTCACTGACTGCAATCTTATCTTCTATATCTGAGTCTATCTTCGCATTCTTTTATTCTGTTGCGTACACTTTCTATGGAGTGTTTATAATCTCCTGGATATCTGTTTGAATCTGTTTTATGGATTCCATTTCTTTCCTATGTTGGGCATTTATTTTTTCCATTTCTTTCTTATACTGGGCCTTCATATACTCAGGACTTTAAAATCCAATGTGTTAAAATAATTCATTTTTGTCATTTTTTCTGATCACATTGTCCTAGTGGGAGGATTGGCTCCTGTGTACTTTTTTTACCAGATCCCCATCAATTATGGGCTTTGGTTTTTGTTTTTGTAGTATTGGGGATTGAACCCAGGGCTTTCAGATTGAGCTACTTCCAGCCCTTTTCTATTTTTTTCAGAGAGGGTCTCAATAAGTCACTAAATTGCAGAGGGCTGGGGATTTAGCTCAGTGGTTCTGCCAACTGCCTCACAAGCACAAGGTCCAGAGTTTGATCCCCAGTACCAAATAATGATAAAATAATAATAATAAATTGCCCAGGCTAGGCTTGAACTTAGTCTTCCTGCCTCAACTTCCTAGAGTGTTGGGATCCCTTTTAAATGTTCCCATACAAAAGATATTCCAGGTTCACCCTGTAATTACCTTGTCTTGGTCCTATAGTTAGTTATCCTTTTCTCCAAAAAAAAATTTGATTTTAGTAGAAAGTTGAGTGTGTATAAAAGCCAAGATCTGAGTTAGTGCCTGGAAATTGCTGACAATAGAGCTACTAAGTTATAGTATTTTACTTTTTAAATATAATACATGTGTTCTACCGCCTGCCTTGCAAGAACAAGGACCCGAGTTCAATCCCTGGTACAAA